CTTATTCGTTGATGTGGAGCAGGACTAAAATAGGCCCAGTACTGTGCCTTGGAGTACGCCGCTAGTGGACGGGTACCATTGCGTTAGGTGGTCATCCACCTGAACCCGCCATCTTCTCCCAATAAGGATGTCACTGATCTAATGGTACAGTGCGCCACCAACACCACACATTCTTAGCTTGTGGAGCAGAACGTCGTGGTTCATTTTATCGAAAGCTTTACTGAAATCAGTGTAGATAACATTCACTGACTTCCCCCGATTCAACGCTTGCAACCATTCCTGCTGCGTCAACAACAGGTTGGTGATGCACGAGCGGCCCTTCATGAAGCCGTGCTGTGCCGGCGTTAGGAGATCTTTCGACTCCAGCAGCAGCAGAAAACCGTTTTACAATCTTCACGAGCACCTTCGTCAAAACACAGGTGAGACAAATCAGCCGGTAATTGTCCACATTGCGTTGGTCACCATCTTTTGGAATCGGCTCCACTACAGAGCATTTCCAGTCGCTCAACAATGCACCCTCGAACAGTGATCTGTTGAACAGGTCCGTCACGGCAGGTGAGATGATGGCCGATAAGGACTTCAAAATTAACGGGTGTAGTCCATCGCATCCGATAGGTTTTGTGCCATCAAAACTGGTGAGTAGACTGAGGACATTTTCTACACCGCAATCAATGACCCTCGAGTTCGGTAGGGGCTGCACATGTCGAGCTCGGCATAAGCGCACGTCCACTTGTATATACGGAAGCGAAGTGCTCCACCAATGCGGACGCACCTTCAGCGCTGGAGGTCAGCGACGGTCCATCAGTGCCCTTTAATACAGCTACGTCACTTGTGGGTCTCAGCCGCCACTTCACGTAAGCAAAAATCGCCATGGGAGCCGTCTTCGCTGAGGTTGCAAGCTTCTCTTCGAACTGCCGATGCTTTCGCGCTTTGGAGATGTAGCATAGATTCCACTGCCACTTGTACGCTTCATAATCTTCAACAGAGCCAGACACGATGAGTTTATTCCACAAAACGCGCCGCCCTTGAGCAAACTGACTATATTCTCGGCCGAACCAATGTGGCTTACCTGGTCTAGCTTTCCGATAATTGAGGGTTACGAAAAGAACGCACAAAGATTGCACATCTTCTTTTATAACAGACCAACAGGCTTCAACACATGAATCCCGCGGCAGCGACCAGTCTATTTCACTGGCGCCTCGATTTAAACCATTGAATTCGGTCTTCCAATAATTGTAAAACAGGCTCCGACAGACGTATGGCAGCGGCAGCTCTAGGCTGGTTAACACCATCGAGCGGTCACTAGCTGCCAGAGGCTCCAGGACCTGAATTTCATTTACATGCTGCTCGCAAATCGTTAGTAATAGGTACAGGCACGATGGGGCGGAATGCGGTGTAATGCGCCTCGGTTGGCAGACATGATTTGCTACTCTAGTTTCAAATACCTTTACCGCAAACTGCGCCTCAACTTCACAGTGCTAGAGGAGAAGTTGAACATCAACCCACCGTATTCGAAGGAAGTTAATATCACCCGTAAGAAGAAAGCGGGGCCGATTCATGTAGTTTCTGGCATGCAGCAACCAGTCCAGGCTTCGACTTCGCAAGCTGCGATAAGCAGCACCCACAAACAGTTCACCCTGTCTCAGGCGGATCCAGCACCATGAATTTTCATACAAGCCATCTTCGTTACGATAGGTAGGTACCAGTCTCCCGCACAGCGAGGACCAAATGTATAACAGCACACCACCTCCGCTGTTTGATAGTCTGTCGCACCGGAAGCACGAGTAGCCACTGATCCGGACTTCCTGCGTAGTGACCTCAGGATTTAACTAGGTTTCGGTCAGTCCTAGTACAGCCGGACGACGTGAGGCAACGAAGTGAAATACATCGTCCCGTTGGTTCATTAAACTACAAGCAGTTGTGAAGGCTACGCGCAGGCTGCGGTAGGAACCGGCAGACGCGCCTGAAGCATCATCAATCTGTTGATCCGGGTTCGGCGCACCAGGGTAACTACCCGAAAATTTACAGTGTGGAGATTGGTTTCTCCACTATCAGTCCACTGCTTCAACTGCACGATCGCGGACTTTAGTTTCACTCTGTCCGACGGATCAAAATCGGGACGAATATGGATCTTCAGACCTCTTAGTCTACCGAGGACGGATAGGACCAGTCTCTGGCTCGTCACATCAACAAATGTGGCTCGCAGCTGGGATTTCCCCTCCTCTCACTTTCCAAGACGAATGAGTCGATTCACCCGCAACCCCTGTTCATTCACTTCGAGAAGCTTATCAAGCAGGCTCTGCAGAAAATCCACCTCGTGGTCATAACGAGCCTGAGGAGTGGCATCTGTCGACTCAGGTGCGTGGTATATCGTAAGGTTACTACGCTGCTGATTGCTGGCAGTTGTCCTCTTCTTTTTGCTTCGTTGCATTCTCCATTGGCCTTCAACGCCGGCGCTATCGCACCCCGGTATGTTGGTGTCCACAGTACGCAACACAGGCACGCCAGCTGAATCTTCAGCATACGAGTGTATTGGTGGGCAATCGCACGCGAGGTGGCGGTTGTGCTTCGGAGTCTTTGGCTCAACTGCCTGACGCACAAGGCTGTGGGTTTCGGAGGTTTGCTTGAGGGTCTCCGTCCGGAGACTTTGCCTCAATAGCCTGACCCGCAAGGCAGTCGGTGGCTTGGAGATTTGTTTAAGGGACTCCGCCCGGAGCCTTTGGCTCAATAGCCTGACCCATATGGCAGTAGGGAGCAGATCCAGCTATGGGATGTGATTGCGGAAACAGATTATGATCTGCTTGAGGTCCGTTACTTGCAGACTTTAAGATAATAGAACGATTCATATATGTTTTCCGACCGTAGTATGCAACGCATCTGCGACCACGGTCTGACTCAAGAGGGTTTTGTCGGGTTTTCACCATTTTGACCGGGGCTAACTGGCTTGAGGCGGGCAGTAGCGAATCATTGAACACCCGGAGGTGCCCTGCCACCGTCAGAGACAATGCGTGGCGCTCGTGCTCTATGCTAATCGAGCTGTGAGCTCATAACCCGTAGACCTGTTGTCACCCATGGCTAGGTTTTACGGAACAGGGCCATCGACCATTTCCTAACCTCCGAAGAGGATAGACTGGGATACTGGCAGGGTGCCCATACCTGACAGGAGAACGACTCGGGTCCTCAGACAAAGCATTCTATTAAATGTATACCCTAAAAGCAACAGGTCTAGCGCATGGTAAGTTCACTGGCCATATATATACATATATGTTTATGAATTGCCCCATGCTGAGGCTGATGTTGCATTCTTGATGCTTCTTCACCGCAGTTGGGCTAAACCAACTTACAGTTAAACTAGGTCTTTTTAAGCTGGTTAAATTTCATTCCACTTTATTTGGTTTGTTCTGCCTACCTGAATACTCTTCTATTAACTGGCCACGTTGCTTACATTAATTGCGCTTATCTTCGGTAACTGTTGCGTTTTGTAGCATTTTTAACTAACGTGTGGACATTTTTCCTTATAGCGGATTCGTTGCTAACCAACTTACTTCATATGCTAATTTAGCGAAGAGTTATGCCACCGTATCTGTATGCATTATTGGATTTGTTTTATTTCATCTTGTCGTTTCCAGTGATTGGCTGTTGCTTGATATCCCCGGTGTGGCTGCGCTTGATGTGCATGTTGACAAGGTGCCTACCTGTCTATTACCCACTACCTCGTCCATACTGGCTCCAGGAGACAGTTGGTCGTTGCTGGAGGGGACGGGGTGCACGGTCCTTGTGGCCGTGCTAGGCTCGAAGAGTGGTTCCATGCACTCAGTGTGGAACGGACTACGGTCCAGCCACCGCCTTATGTGCGCTTGATTCCCCAAATACAGTGTGCTTGTGTTTGCCTGTGAAGGAGTGTTGGCCGGCTCCGTTGATGAAACGTGGTTCCCATCCACATGCCTCCTGGTCTTATTCCTTCGGGTTTACACTGGATATGCGGTGTGTGGTTGGATCTGCGGGTGGTGCAGCGCAAGCCAGCCATGGTCCCTCTGTAGGCGCAGGTGTCCTGTGGCTTGCCACAGCGACAGGCAAATCCGAAACCGGATGCCGCCAACCATGTTTATGAATACATGTGAGCAGCTGAGCATTGGGAATTTGGAGAATCGAAACCTATGCCACCAAACCTCTATTCTCTTTTTCACCTGGCTTTACGAGTTACAATGGGTCGGCGGAGGCCTATGTGCGCTAAGGTTTCCAGGAGGCGTGGCACAGTCTTCACTCAACTATTTCCTTCCTGTTTTATCTGGATGAAACACTCATTTTTTCGGTTATATCTACCTTGTTGCCACCATGTTCACATGTAAGCTGAAAAACAAAACAAAAGCGACCGCTCAAATTCAGTCCACTGCTCTCATGCTCAAACTTGTTTCATTCTGTCGTGTCAACCCCTAAGCACCTAGACTGCAGTAACAATACCACCACTTCCTAGCAGTACGGTGTCATGTGCTCTGTCTAAGGGGCACAATCATAATTTCCTAAACACACGCACTTCTCTTGCCAATCGAAACTGTACGTTCACTTCAATGTCCATTGGAGTGCAGTTAACGATCCTCAGCTGAACGGCGACGGACAGAACTGACAGCAACACCAAGCATATGTGAGGTCTTTTTGAGGTTACACAGTGTATACTCCCATAAACCATTATTGATGCAATTGCATACCGTTGTTCCCAATAACTAGCCCTACTTATGAAGGGTGTGAAAACACTGTTACGCAGCCAACTGACAGATATGTGTTGTGTAACTTCACAGTTAATCAGAGTTGAACTTAGTCGTTCATTTTTGAATGTCTGCAGGCATGAGAGGACGAAGTGTGCAGGAAATCACCCACGTCAACTCATGAGGGCAGTTTATTGTTAAATCAAGGGGAGTACTATTTAGGTAATACCGCAACAACAAAAATCGCTCATCGCTGAACCCAAAGTTAGGTAAGAAAACAAACGAGAGAACACTTACTTTGTGAACGGTTGTAAGACGGGTGCCTTGACTGGGATGGGAGGTTCGGTAGGGCAGTTCAGGCGGCCGAAGTATACCGCTGCTCTCTAATTGGTCTGTGCTGACGCCATATCCTGATTCGTGAGAATGACACTTGTTCTTGCAGAACTCAAGAACAATAGTGGTGGGATGATGCTGGAAATTAATTTGCGTTTTCGAAAAAAAGATAAACTATGAGTCTTTAATTCTATTTAGAAACCCATGTTCGTGACTTGCACATAACAGACATATCACGAAACCGGTCAGCTACCGGCGACAAACATACAAATGTAGCGAAGATTTCTGCGGGGTGTGGAAAACTAATCGGGACGGAATATGAAAAGTTAAATACAAGAAACCGAACATACAAATACTAATGAGTGCCCGATAGGGACTCCAATCACTGGTGTGGACCATCCCAAGGCTCCAGCCTGACTAAGTCTTTAAGCCAACTTCTTTATGCCACCTTATCGACTGGTCACTTAGCGGTTTCGCCCAACACGGTGCAGTGACGGCATACAACATAAGCTGAGGTAAGCAATCAACGGGAATATGGAGCACATCACCTAGCCAACATAAGCAACTAAGCTTTAGCAAACCCTCGAGAGAGCAACCAGAAGGATTCTTGCCAAAAACCAACTGACGAACCTCAGCATAACTCACCTGGTGTTTCAACCAGATGTGAGCAATACGCCGCAAGCACCGTTAGGAAAGTACGGTCAATTTGTTAATGACTTCCCAACAAACTGACCAGGTCTCTGATCTATGCAGTGACACGGTCCGTGTCGCAGTGTTATACACCCAACCCTACACTGAAAAGCTGAATTGCGCCACACTAATAGATGGTCTAGCCTCTGGAAAACCACGCGGCCGTTGCCGATGCGCGAAGGAACCTCTTCATTGATGTAACCACCGGAAGCGACACAACTACCAAGGTAAGTGAACCGATCCACCACTTACAGTGGCTGTTCGCTGATGGCTAGAACCGGTGGTGTATCGGTTACAGTCCTGCAACGGTATCTTATACCTTAAAGGTGTGAAGTACATTGCAAAACTCGGAGTTCAACGCGTTAGCCTATCCAATTGTGCTCGCATATCCACTGCGTCCTACTCAGATATATCGTCCGCATACTCAAGGTTTGTTAAACGGTCACCTGGCAGAAATTCTACACTGGTAGAGTCTGAAATAACCGAGTCAGTCACGCTCATTTCGCCCACAAAGTTGAAGAGAGGAGGACATATAGGACAACTGCACCGCACTCTACTTGTCCTGGGGATCTCAAAAGATACTTTCCCATAGAAGATTTCCCTGCATCTAGAGTCACGGTACAGATACTTCATAATAGAAAAGAGTTTCCCTGTCGCGGCCTCCACGAATAGCCAATGCTACAAGCTGGCACGATCAACAGAGTCAAAGGTAACTTTCAGTTCTAGGAAAATTACCATAGCCGATTATCTTTAGTTGTCTACAAGCTAGGATGGCGAAGAGTAAATGTCGTCGATACAAACCCTACACTATGCAAGTCTGCCTGCTTTTAAATTAGCCGGCTCTCAAGAATCCAAGCAAGTGGTCAGCGAATGCTACTCGTGAGAAGTTTGGATGCAAGAGCAATGAGGATAACGCTTTGATGCTTTTTCCACGAAGTCCATGGACCCTTATTGAAGATAAGCACCACGTTTGAGTATCGTCAATCTGAAGACACCTTTTAGTGTCCCAACTTGTGTTAAATTGGGCAGCAAGTGCAGTCAATAATGAGTCACCCCCAACTTTCAAAAAATATACAAGAAGGTCGACAGGTCGGGGAGTCATGTTTCATTTCATGTCCGTTAGTTTATGTTAAATGTCTCCCAAAGTAGGAGGTGTGGCACCAATTTCCCACGTCGTCTCAGGTGATTGGGCAACCGGCAGTGTCGAATCAGGCCTGCTGGTCGGCCGTTCACAATGTTCCGCCCAAAGGGCTAGTCGATGAAGCTGAGAGTGGATCAACCGTCCATCATTCTCGGATGTCGTCTCACTAACTGATGACTGTCTTGGACCCGTTTTCCGGGTGAGCTGAAACAGCACTCGGCCATTTCCAATCGCACAGGCTTGCTCTACCTCAATGACCTTTGCTACCAATCACCGTTCCTGGTCGATTCGAAGACTCCTTGTCAGACTTCGTTTCAAGAGGTTATGGACACGCTGAATCTCAATACTCAAAGGAACTTATCTGCGTGCGTTGATTAAACTGGTCGACGTCTCAGAGCCATTCACATTCCAGAAGTCTCAAGTTGGACGTATAGCAGGAGTCAAAGACGTTGTTATGGTACACTTGAAACGATTCCACTCTGTGTTACGCTCACCAACTTCATTCACCACTACTAATTTCGTGGACCAGTTTGTCATGATGGTGTTGAAATGCAGACTGCGAATGCAAGTGAGAAGCACAGAAGTTAGATGCCTCTTTCAATCAGGAGGAGTACGCGTCAGGTATGAGCAGAATCAAGGCACACATTTACACTGACCGACAAAATTCGACTGATGTGCATCATCTGGAGCTGATTGCAATGTGGTCAATTTGGGTCCGGGTTATCGAAAAATGCTGCGATTGCCAGGTGACATGATAGTAATATCTAGGTTGGAAAGCAGGGCTGCTAATATAAAAACTCCGGTCGGTACAAAGTGGTAGGAATCGATCGTAGTTGCCTGTTAAGCGCGCATCAACCCGAAAGCGGCCTCCCAGATATTGTTCAAAGTCCGAAGGCGACCCACTTGGGCATTCCTATCACAACCGACAATCACAATGTTAATATTTTTCATTATGCAGAGCAGAGATGAGACATGACCATAGAAATCATTTCTGATATCCTCCGAACTGTTGTGGGGTATAAAGGAAAGCAGTGAAAAGACGGTTCACAGTGGAACGACACATATGCAGCTGTTCACAGGTATTCAGTCGATTAGATTGCCTTTAGCATGTTTTCGGAGAGCAATACCGAGTGACCAGAAACAAGCAGAATGCTGCCATTGTCGGCAGATGCAGAGCCAGAGTGTCGAAGACTCGTGAGCCCTAGGTTTGAAGGAATAGTTACATGTATTGATGACAGCACCTGCGAAGTCCGCGATAATATTTGACCAATAGATTGGGAAATAGAGTCGTAAGCGAGAGGACGAACAAGAATCAACTAGTATCGTCGATTAGTTCTACAGCATAGATGGAACTCTTCGCCTGCTCATTTTGAGAGAGGGATTACGTCCAAACTGCCCTACTTCTATCCTCTGACTTAACAGTCTGAACCACAAGGCAGTGACGAGCAAGTCCAACTTCAGAGTGTGATTGTAGAGACCCGTTGGGAACTGCTTAAAGTAAGTCACATACAGCCTTTAGAGATTTAAAGAGATTCATATGCGTTTTCTGACCGTGGTGTTAGGCACCTGAGACCACGGCCAATCGTAGGTGGAAGTTCGCGAGTTTGCCCCAATTTGCCCCAGAGCTAACCTAACTTGATGCAAGCTGCAAAAAAATATTACGCATCGGGCGGTGCTGTCCTACCTCCACAGACAATGTGTGACAGTTCTTGCCTATACCTAACGAGATATGACCATAGGACGAGTCAATTGGTTTCCCATTGCTACTTCAAAGGAAGAAGTCCACTGATCCATCCCCAACCTCAAAAAGAGACTGAAACTTAGTCGGTTTGACCTCTGACCAATAACCTGCATGAACAAAATGGCTCTGAAGGCACTTGAAAAGTGCAGCCCAGTGTTGATCAATGGCTCACGAAGATACGCAAACCATTGCACCGTGTTAGAGTCCAGTCTCGTCCTAGTGTTAAAGTGTCAATGTATTATCGGATATTTGCGGCACTAGTGGCGGGTGCAAGTGTTCTGAATCGGAACAAGCTTTTTGTGTCTTTTCTAGGAAAGTATAGCGCCTTTGAAATAGCATCAGTTTACCTGGTCAACTGGCTGCGTAACCGAAGCAGTTAGAAAAATTTCCCTTTCAACTGACAAGCCCCGCTTAGGAGCAATGCCCCTAATCAGATTACATGATCAATAAAGTTGAGGAAATTATCGGTTTTACTGTGCTAGCCTAATGGTCACATGGAGCAGAAATAAACCACATTTAAGCCTAAGAAGAGTTGTCTCAAGACTAAATCAACCTACGCGTCCGCTAGAAATATCCTAGTAAAAGCAGCGAGTCTAATCAAGCTCGCATTGTGTGCATACAATGTCTAATTGGTGGTCCAGAATCCAAGATCCGTTGTAGATCAATCAAAGCTCAAGTCGTGGATTGGAGTTCAGACAGGAAAACAGAAGGGGACGTGCATTTAGCACTAATCCAAATTTACCAGCGACATCTCCCGGTGCTGCGCAAACTGAAAGATGAGGTTCGGAGAAGGAGAGGGATATTCAGCGAGTAAGGTTTCTGAGAAGAACGATTGTGACAACCTCAGAGACTGCTGATCGTTTTCATGCCATAACCTGCATTATCAAAGTGTATTTACTACAACCGTACAGGAGGATAGAGATGAGCGAATGGGAAGGAGTGATGAAATGTCCGAGAGACTGTAGAATGATAGCTAGGTGAGAAAACTCTCTTATGCCGCAAGATCTATATAGGCTATGCGCTCTGCTTGTGAGCATTTCGCTGTGGCCCATAAAAGGTCTATATCTAACCGACTTGCGAATACATTACGCAAATACTAACGGTTACGATCGACCAGCACTGTGACTGCATGGAAGTAAATTATAGACAGCAGCATAAAAGCTCATGAAGTGCAAAAAAGCAGTTATACCTCAGTGGATATCTCAGCATTAGTGGAGCAGCTAATAGTCATCTTGGATTTATGGGTTTGAGTTCGTCAGTTTGATATTCTCGGAAATTCCTCTCTGTGCTTACAAACTCGTCCACCAGTTTATATCGAATGCCTACCGCTTAGGCCGATCCGTAGTCTAAAGATAACAAGCTTGACATGTAACCTGACGGCACGGGTTTGAGCCTGCGTAGGAGCAGGGTGAATCTTATAAGATCCAGGGCCCACGTGCGGCCGATCGTGGATGCGCGGCAGTGATGCGTTGGTACTGCGAACCAGCGTAGTACTGATGCCCCACCGCTCAGTACAGGTGAGTGGATCATTGCATAGGTACGACAATCCGTGTTCCAGCATCAGTC